GGCACGAGTGAGGGGGAGAGGTAAGTGCTGTAGGTGTGAGAGGGGCTGTGGGCCAGCCAGAGGCTCAGCCCTGGCCAGGAGTGTGTGGAGCGGTGACCATGGGGAGGAGAGGCAGGCGTGTGTGTCCAGCACCATGGACTCTACAGATCTTGTCCATCTTTGTCCCAGAGAGGTCTGTGTATTTAGTATTATTTCAGCTGGACACAGACTGGGAAATGGCAGTGCCTGCACAATGCTGGCAGCAGCCATCTGTACTGGCAGCGTGTCTGCTCAGAGCCTGTGCTGGGCTGCACCATTGCCTCTCCTGACCTTCACTTGTCAGGGCTGAGCTCTCCCATTGCCCCCCTCTGCCTGGGCCCAGGGCAGCAGGACCTGTGAATCGGATGCTCTCACCCATAAAGCCCCTACGGGTCTGATCCAGGCTCACCCCCAGCCCCTCATGCTGTTGTGGACCCCATGGCCTCCCAGCAGTGCCACGAGGAACAAAACTCATTGAGTGTGGTGTTTCCTGCAGAGTGGGGGGGTGTGGGAGCAGGTCTGCTTTGCTGGGGACTCTGCTGGAGATCGGTCCCCCATGGTGTCCTGCACCGTGGGGAGTGGGGCTGCATGGTCTGTGGGTGGGAAGCACAGAGCTCTGGGACAGACCAGCCTTTGGGGAGGAGGTTTTCTTGGAGAAACCATCTCCATCATTCCTCTGCACGCTCCAGAGCTTGTGCTCAGCTCTGGGTGCCTCCTGGTAAGCTGTGGAGCTGCCGGGTGCATCACCGTTTCCCAGGGGATGGGAACGGCTGCTCGGGGTCTTGCAGAGTGAGCCCTGTGAGCCTGGGGGGCTGTGGTGCCTCGTTCCTTGTCACGAGAGGTCACCCATGCCCGGCCATCCCTCCCTTTCTTGGCACACCCCCGCAGACCCGTTCTCTTACACCCTTTCCTTGCCTGCAGTAATTTCCCCAAAGAGCTGTGAATGCAGCTGTCCTGCATCGCTCCAGTGGGACGGTTCCCTGAGCAGGTGCGAGCAAATCCCATGGCACTAGGTCATGGGGACTACTCACAGCCTGGCATGCTGCGGAGGAGAGGAAACATTGCAAAATTTTCCACTTTTCCCATGAACTCGTTCCCGGTGCCTCAGCAGGGTGGCCGTGGGTCGGTGCCGGTGTGGGGCTGGGGTCCGCAGGGGAGGGCAGAGCAGTGCGCGCGTGGCTGCGGCGTGGGGCTCGGGCCTGTTTGCTCAGACAGGTGCGGTCCCCGTTCCAGTCCGCGGGGCCGATGGGAGTCGCGCCGTTCAAATGTGCGGCGGTTGGACGCGTGTCCCATGGAAACCCGGCGGCACGGCTGCCTGGCGCTCCCGGCTTAAACGGCTGCTCGGCTTTCCCGGCGGGGAGGGCTCAGTTACCGGCTAATTAGAGGTGTCCGGCCATGGAGTCCGGCAATGTCCACAGAGTCTCGCTCTGCACCCACCAGGCCGACCCCCTGGGAGCTTCTTTCTACCTGACCACGTTCGGTAAGTGCTGAACCTGCAGCTCCAGGGAGCGGGGTGGGGGCACACGGTGGGTGGGGTTGTGGCCGGTGTGGCACGGGGAGCCGCAGCAGGTCGTGGCCGAAGCCTGGCGCGGTAGGAACGGGCTGGAGAGCTGCTCCCTGAAGGCATTCTGCTCGCTGAGCTGGAATGGTACGTGGCTGCGTTGAGCTGGTGAACCGGGGAGTGCCCTGAAACCCTTCTGCAGCCGCGGCGGCGTGCGGTGGCAGTCAGCCCCGTGCCAGTACCAGGTCACTTTGCCCCTGGCTGGGCTCGAGCTGGGATTGCTGTGTGTGATGGCTTGTCGGCAGCTGTCTTACGCAGGTTCTGCTTTTTAAGCAGCAGTTTTCTTTCAAAGTGTCTGCTTGTTCTAGGGAGCAGGGCAGATAACTGTGCAGTGTGCTGCCAGAGGCTGCAGGGAAGCAGAGGGTGATGCCAGGGATGCTGCTCCTTCCCTGTCTGGGCTTGTAAGTGTCGAGCTGCTCAGGACAGCCTGGAAGCTAAAATCCTCCTGTCTTTGTCTGCAGGATTTATGCACGCCCAGTAACGTGAGTTTTGTGGCATCTCAGATCTGTGACTGTAGCCCAGTTCCTGTTGCTGGCGAGATGTGGCGTTGCGTGCTCTGAGCAGAGCAGTGGCGGGGCAGGGCCAGCGTGGGTGACCAAGGAGAGGGTCTTCAAAAGGGCTGGTGCCAGGGCCCGAGGTTGTAGATGGTGATCTTGGGAGTGCTCTGCCTTGTGCCCATGGAGACCTCCTCCCAGGCAGTTATCTGACACTACTTTCCTCTGGTCAGCATTCCCCCTGCCATGTGTACAGATGGTTCTTGGCTGTCCCAGCCATAGCAAAACCTGTATTTTTCCTACAATAAAACAGAAAAGCATTTAAGGAACAGAAAACTAAGTTTACCATTTGTCAGAGTTCATTGGTAAGGGCCAGATTTTCCTGCCTGCTGGGCTTGCTCCTGAAGGACACAGTTGATATGCCCCCTCCCTTAGCCTGGCAAACTTCTCCCATGTGTGGGAGCCTGTTTGATTACCAGCTTGTGCTTTTTTCCCTGTTCTCCTTGTGCCAGCTTTGTTCCTCAGCTTGAATCGCCTCTCCTGGCCCTGTGGGGTCTAGATGGATGGGACCCAGGTGCCCTCTCTGCTGCAGCCCTGTGAACCCAGCTGAGCCCTGCTCTCCGTGATGGGCTGTGCACCCAGGAGCTGTCTGTGGGTCCTGTTGTGAGATGAGCTGGCTGCTCGTTTGTCTCCCTCTGGCCTTTCTCTGCACCTATTTTCATTTCTATTAACCTTTATTGAACACAAGTGACCTGGACGAGCTGTGTCAGGGCCTCTCTGCTGAGGCTGTTTCCCTTAGTTCATGTTAGGGATGTATCAAAAGAGTTAAACCCAGAGGATAATGTTTCTCTGACCCTCTGCTCTTGGAGCAAGGTGGAAATGCAGCCCAAGAACTTGGTAGGGGTTGTGTTTCTGCCCACCCAGGTCTGGAGGAAGGTTACTGCTCTGTGCACCTGAGAACGCGACTGCTGCCACTGGTCCAGTCTGTCCAAGTGCAGACGTTGGTATGGCAGATCCACCAGCTCAGGCTGGATCATCTCCTTCCAACAGCAGCTTCCCTCTCTGATCCTGGCCGCGCAGAAGCACTGGAATTGCTGCAAAGCCAGTGAGTGCTTCCCTGGCCTGAGTGGGCTGGGACCCCTTTGGGGTCAGACAGGCTGGCTGAGGGGTGCGATTTATCCCTTCATGTGCTCTTGAGATGCTTGGGAGCAAATGCATTGAGAGAGAAATGTCACCTGTTCCTCATGGGAAGGAGAGGACCTTTCCCACTGATACTCCCAAATCCTTTCTACTAGAGGCCAATTTGTGATACTTCTGAAAAAGACAAAACTGCCCATTTCTCCCCCCTCTCCTCTCTTTGGTGCTGGTGTAGCCTGTGCCGCAGGGGCCGCGGGCACTGGCCCTGCACAAAAATCAGCAACAACACGATGCACGAGGCCATGGTCCCATCCGACCCAATCCCTTGTTGTGTGGAAGCCTTGGCTGCCCCCGGAGCTGAGTGGCCCCAGCTGTCCCCAGGCCAGGGCTGGGTGTAGAGCTGCTTCTTCCCAGGCTACCCAGCACAAAAGCTGCCTTTCTTCTCCCCAGGGCCCGTTCATTACTGGGCTGACTCCTCGTCACGCTCGGTTAGGACGGGGGCATTTCGCTTTCGTGTTGTAACGGTTGTTACACGCTAATAGTGCAACAGCAAGAGGGTTCCCACAGCGTCAGAGATCTGGAGATGGCAGAAGGGTTAAAGTCTTGATCCACGAGGCTGGGGTGGCATCGCGAAATGGAGACAATATTCTCGCTGTTGTAAACCAGTATTAGCTTCAACAGAGTTGTCCTGATTTACCCCACCTGGCTCTTGTCTTTACTTTCTCACCTTCCTCTTGCTTGCACATGTCTGTGCACCTAAAGATGCATTTCCATGTGTGCACACACGCAGATGCACACGTGGGCACATGCGTGAGCTGCAGAGACATTCAAGAATTTTCTGTCGATATTTTTTTTTGGAGTGAAAAATGAGATGCAAGTTCTGTGAATTGTTTCAGGTTAAACAGTCCCCTAAGGTGTCCCCACCTCAGAACACCGAAGGAGTTGTCTTTTGCAAAATGAAATGTTGGGGTTTAATTTGAAAGATGTTTAGATGTCTGATGTCTACAAGTTTATTTTGTTTGTTGTGTTTTGTAAGCTGGAAAACAAGTGAAAGTGGGATATTTTGCTTTGGACTAAATGAAACATTGTGCTAATGATGGTTTTCAGTCTTTTGGTTCTCTGGGAGCATTGGGAAATGTTTCATGTTGGGTTGGTCCAGAGCAATTACACAGATTTCAGCCCCTGCGTCACCCCTGAAATCTGCACATCCTGTCCAGGCTGGCAGGCGACAGTGCCCTGGGAAGCCCCTTGGGAAGGTGTTCAGAGGGGCAGAGCCCTCTGTGCCCGAGTGAGGCCAGTGAGCTGGGGGCTGGCAGCCTGCTCTGCACCCCGGCAGTGTTTCACCCAGACCCCGGTGAGCGCCATTGCTGAGTCTTTGTGCCAGTCTTAGATTGTGGCTAGATTTTAGGGCTGATGTGGAGTCACTAGTGTGTGGGAAAGTGGGTGTGTAACTGTAAGTCAGCTGGCAGAGCAGAGCTGCCACCCTGGCCCCCTGCCCACGCTCAGCAGGGGTGTCCACGTGTGGCTCTCCCAGGCACTGGCATCCTGTGCAGGGTCTATGACCGGTTGGGTTTTCAATGCTGGGAATCAGCTTCTGACAGACAGGTCCAGGCAGAGCTGAAAATTACAAATTGCAGCTCCAGATAAGAGGTGGGAGCTCAGGGATCTGGCACGGGCGTTTCAAAAGGCAGTGGGAACTGTGGGTTGGATCTGGAGCTGTGTAAGAGATGGATTTTGTTCTCAGCTCCTCTTCAGAGCGGACTGTGAGCAGCGTATTCTTCTGCAGGTGTGGACATTGTGTTTGCAGGTAGTGACTTTGCCTGTCGCCAGCCAAAGGCCTGTTTGGGATGCTCCTCCCCTCCTCCTTTCTTTAGAAATAATCCTCCCATCTTGTCCTTGTGCCTCTGCAGAGGAGTTTCTGGATTCAGAGGCTTCCCTGAGCTCCCCTGGCCTTTGTACTTGGGTTTCAGCTGACTCTGTCCCGGATAGACAAGCTTGTGAGCACAGAGGTTGGATCTGCCCACTTAGTCTGTACTGAGAGCAATTCCCCAGGAGGATAGCCAGGCTGAGCTGTGTTACAACAGTCTGCTCCCTGTGGAACCCTGGTCTGACACTTCCCTGGCTCCATCCCTGCCACTTCCTCTCTCACCGTAGGTAGCGTAAAAGACACTGATGGGTAGAAACGTTGCCCTCTGTCTTCTACGGGTGGGCTCTGCAGCACCAGTGAGGGGGTGCTGGGTCCTGCGCTGAGCTCTTGCTATTGTGATCTGCCAGTCCACTTTGGGAGAAGTCTCCTCCTCAAGGGCTGCCTTGGAGTGGGTTAGGTCCTGGGTCCTCCTTTAACAAGTCAGACCAATGTCCTGCTCCAAGAAAGATCCTGTCATTTACTCCAGGGACTAGATCTTGGCACTTCGAGCTCTCTTTCTCTGCTGTTTTATTCTCTGCTGCGTTGAGGGGCAGAAACGGATGCCCCTGTGCTCTTAAGATCTACTCTTTTGGCCTGTTGATGACTTTGATCTCTGGAATGCACTCCTTGCTCTGATCAGGATGACGATGGGCAGCAAGGTCCCCTACAAGGCCTGCAGGCCTGGCAGTGGGGAACTGAGCACCCCGGACAGGCACGTCCTGTGTCCTGGCTTGGTGGATGGCTATGGGTAAAGCCAGTGGATCAGAAGCAAAGGGAGATCTCCATCCAGACCTGCTCCAAAGCCATGTTTCTTTCATGTAGCTCCTCAAGGCTCTCCTACCACCACCTCCTCAATCAAAAGCTCTCAGTGCTGTTTTGCAGGGAGCCAGGTGCTTCCCTGGAGATGCTGGGCTACTGGGAACCAGGGGTCCTGCTCGGTCCAAGCCCCCCCTGGGCTCTGTGGCAGGGGGGTTGCAGGATGGTGGAGCGATATTCTTCCCTGGGCGTTGGCTGCTCCTGGCCTTGTTGTCCACCTGGCAGTTATTCAGTGTCAAAGCACATGACCGAAACCATGCTTCTTTAATCCTATGTTAAAGCAGGTATTGGCTCCTGGGTTTAGGAGATTACGTGTCTGCTCACCAGCCCGTGCTCTCTGGGATCCCCAGGAAACACGGGGGGCTGCAGTGCGGGTGCTCTCTCTGTGCTTCGATTCCGGGGGGCTGAATCCGCACTGCGAGCGGTGCTGCCTCGGTCCTTGTTGCTGCATCTGTTCTGCTCCATGGTGCTGGTGATAACAAACTGTTCCTGGCCACGACAGTCAGCCAAGGGGTTTCTAAGGCTTTCCCGTTTCCCCAGAACCACTCTGGACAGATGAGGCGTGCAGCAGGGCAAGCAGGGAGGAGGCACGCATGGAGCGAGGTCCTGCAGCAGCGGATGGATGAAGGCGGGTTAGTGCCATGGCCCCAGTCTCTGCCAGTGGGAACAGCCTTGGCCAACCCCATGCCAGCGTGTTCCTGTCACCAAAGGCACCGGTTGTCCTTGGCGTTGGTCCAGGCCATCTGCAGCTTGGCTCGCTGTCACCTTCTGCAGGGGTGGCAGCCCCTTGCACTGCACAGGAGCTCAGGGGAGAGGCAAAGGGGAAGTCGACTCTGGGCTGGGAGGAGGATTTGAGCGCACCGCGTCCCGTTGTTAGACAAGGGCTAGCTCATCCCACAGCAACTGTTTTTGTCCTGGTGCTCCCACTTCCCCTCTGCCATGGGCTCGTGCCTTCTGACACCAGAGTTTACTGTGTGCTAAGAAAATGGTATTCAGGATTTCCTGGAATGTTTTTACATCTGGAGCCATAAGGCTTTCATGGTAGCAGAAGATGTTTCCTCCCACCTCTTCCCCTTGGCTCCCAGAGCTGGGGTGTCCCTGCACTGCCGAGTACTGGGGGTGGCGTGCGAGCCCTGCCGCCTTCATCGTCTCTCCTCTCCTCTCCTCCAGGCCAGCTGAAGCTGTCCCTTGAGTTGCAGGGCCGGATCTTGGTGCTGCATGGTGAGTATCTCCCTGGGGTATGGCAAGGTGGCCCCAGAGGCCATGGTGGGCTAGTGATGGGGACAACACTTCTGTGCCCTTTTGTCAAGCTCTTTGGAGCTTCATGGCAGCTGTTGGAAACAACTCTGTGGTTGAGCGATACGACTTGGTACTCTTTGATTTAGAGACCAAACTGAAATTTCTGGAGACCTTCATTTCTAGGTGACTACAGTGTGTTTTGCATCTACTTGTAAAAATTTTTTTCTTTTAACTCCATGTGAAGAGAAAAAGACAAATGTAGTTTGGAAAAGAAAGTCTGAAATACTTTGTCTCCTCTGAAACGTCTTTTACGTTGGCCAAAACTGTTTGCCAGGATTTCTAAATGGTTCAGTTACTTCCAAATATTGCATTTTTTTTAACACCAGAAATACAACAAAAGCATGTCACCTGGTCCAGGCTGGGGTGGTTGTCCCTTGCACCATGGTGTGTCCCACTGGAGGCAAGAGATGCTCTTCTTTCTCTGGGGACATGGACCTGGCCACCACTTCTGGGAAACTGGCTCCATCGCAGCTGTGAGGCAGGTGCCAAGGAAATAGCACTGCAGCTTTATTGACGTGTGTTAGAAAGGCCAACGTGAGTGTCAGAACGGGCTCTTTTCTTTAGGCAAAACCTGTCAGGAGACACTTGAGGGACCCCTTAGAATTTCTCCTGCAGCGAAGGATGTGTGTGTTTGGGTCTCCTGGCACAGAGCTCTTTCTACCAGGGTCTCATCAGGGCTTTGTGATGAATAAATGATTAAAGAATCAAGGAAGTTTGAAACGGTGAGAGTCAAAATCCCTTCCCTGTGAACAGGGCTCTGTAGGGATAGAGAAGTCTTTCTCTTGAGCAACATCCCACCTTACAGCCCAGCCCCACCCCTGCCTGATTGTAATGAAATGGGGGGATAGAGGATGGCCTGAGCCTGGTGAGGCTGTGGGGACCAGCTCCCCTTTCCCAGCTGTGCAGGCAAGCTTTGTAAAAAAAAAAAAAAAAAAAAAAAACAAAAAAAAAAAAACCCAAACACACCAAAACAACCAAAAAACAAACAAAAAAACCACCACCACAACAAACTACAAACAAAAAAAAACCCCAAGCAACTAAAAAAATCCAAAACAACACAAAAAACCCAAACAAACAAAACCCAAGCAAAAAACAGCAGCAGGAAAATGTGGGTTTTTGGCTCCCTCCAAGCTGTGTGTGGTTCTGAGGGTCTGGCACAGGTCTTCCCCCAAATCCCTCTGTTCGGAGCAGCTTCAGCATGAGCTGGGTGCAGGTTGCTATCTTGTTCTGATGCCATCTCCAAAAGAGGGGCTGGGAAGAGGAAAATGGTCCAGCAAAGAGGCAAAGGTGGCTTGAGGTCTGGGACCTGACACCCTGCTGCATGTGCCGGGTGCTCCGTGTGGGCAGGAGGAGGCTGGGCCATGGGGGTGATCAGTCTTACTTTTTCATTGTCCACCCTCATCCCATGTCTTTAAACCCAAACGAAGCAGGTCTGGCTGGAGGAGGAAGCTCTTGGTGCAGCGTGTCCTGGAGGAACCTTTTTAACTGCTTTGTGAAGCACCAGAAGGTCTTGCAGAACCCCTTTCCCCTTGTGCACTGGGGCTTCTGGGGGACTGACCGTGTTTATTAGGAACATGTATCTGTCTCTGATGAAGGCAAAGTCACTGTGCCTTGCTGGGCTCGTTAGGAGGGAGCTCAGCCCCGTTCCGACAGCCCATCCTGGGCTGTCCAGGCTCTGCTGCACATCTGTTGCCTCCAGCCACATGGTGGGAAGCGCAGGGCTCCCGACTGTCGTCGATATTTGACTTGATGATACATTTGGCTCCGGGGCAGGGAGCCCAGAACAGTGTGAAGTCAGGCAAACGAAATGCAATTTGCCATCCGGATGCTGAACTGCCTCTGCTGCCAACCTCACCCACAGACGCTCGTGTTTATAGCAGGATTGTATTAAAGAGAAAATAACAATAAAACCCTTCACCTGGTTGGGGGTGCCTGGTGAGACCAGGTTGCTGGGGAGGCGTGTGTAGGATCCTGTTGGGGCTGGAGATGGGCTCAGCCCCATGACGACGGGGCACCCCATGGTTCAGAGCACAGTGGTGTAGGAAGATGCCTTCCCTACTGCTTTGGGGCTTCACTGTTTTGTTTCCTTTCCAGTCATGGAAGCAAAAGGTCTGATAGGAAAGGAGTACCGGACATGCAACTCATATGTGAAGGTGGGTTCTCCTGGGGCTTTGCTCGGGGACCTTCAGCTTTCTTGGAATTTTGGGGTTGGCTCTTCCAAGCATGCTCTGGGATTCCTTTTCCTTTCCTCCTCTGTCCTGCTCTGGCTGAGCACCCACAGTGTGCAGGTCTCTTGACCAGTGCTGGAGGGCTCATGGGTTTTGTTGGAACAGTGTCTGCATGGAGCCAGGAAGGTGGAGGATGGGACCCTGGTAGGGGCTGTGTCAACCACTCACTGCACAAGCATCCCCCTGGGTGCCCAAGGGCTGGTGGGGAGCAGCGTGTGGCCAACTGTCCTGGAGGTCACCTCAGCAGGCTGCTCCCACCACGGTGTGTGCAGCGCAGGGAGCATCTCCCCTACAAGGGAGCTGCAAGTCAGAGACCAGCCAGTAACATTTGTGTACATCAGTCGTTGATTTTTTTCTGCTCTTTTCCTTCCCTCCCCTGCCCAGAGGAGTTGTGTAAGGTAATTGCTTGACACACATAGAGAAAAGTGATCTAAACCACCCGTTAGCACAGGCTCAGCTGGATTTTGAGGCTTTGCCATCCATGAGAGTGGCTGTGCCGGTCTCCTGGACTGCAGCAGCAGAGCTGGCAGCCGTGTGCCAGCGCTGGCTTTGAGAGTGCCAACACACTGCTACTTTTTCTCCATAAAGGTGTCGATTGTGCCAGATGCTGACTGGAAGTGCAGGCAAAAGACGAAGACCGTGCCAGACAGCAAAAATCCTGTCTTCCATGAGCACTTTCTTTTGTGAGTATGACAGGGCAGAGGTGGCTCTGACCCATCCATTAGCTCCACGTTCACCCTGAGCAGGGGAGACCCTTGTGGCCGCTGTCCTGGGGCACCTCTCAAAGCCAAGACCCCGTGTTTGCTTTTGCATTAAGATCTCTAATAAACACACATCATGCATGAGCAGCTCAGCTGCTGAGATGCGTAGTGACAGACGTTGTTCTGCTGTTTTTTATAGCTGAAATGCCTTGAACTTTTGGGCAGAGCTCTGCGGAGGCTCACAAAGCTGTCAGCGCACAGCATGGCAGTGGCACTCCCGCACGGTCGGACTTTCCTGCTGGGCAGGAGTTGGGCAAACACGTTCCGTTTCCTAGACCTTGTGCCTGCAATAGTATAGGCATCGGTACGAACGAGGAAGGTAAAGGGTTTCCTAGAGCTACAGCATGTCTCTGCATGGGAAAGGAGCTGTGTGGTTCGTGTTTCGGTAGAGCTTGTCGTTGCCAGCAGCTGACCAGTCTGTGTCAGACCTCTGTCTCCGTGCACCATTAAATCTGGCACAGGGTGGTTGCTTCTGAGCATGAAATGTGGCTTGTTCCTCCCATTCACCCTCTGATGTTGCATGTGTGTCTTTCTGGAAGGTTGTTTTTAAACCCTTAAACCACCTGAGTGGTGTCCCAAGCGCCTGCCCAGGACAGGTCACGTCCCTTTGCAGTTGTCTGTCAGGAAGGAGTGAATTAGTGCAACAGTGGCTCGTTTGGGGGACGCTGCAGGGCTCCGTGCGGAGAACGGAGGAGAAAACCTGGCTCTGGGGAGGGCGAGGGGGTCTCCAACTGCGAGGGCAGCCCTCGCCCAGCGCTCCTGGGGAAGGTTGGTGCTCATGGTCTGTCCTCCCTGTTTGTTACAGCCCCGTGCAAGAGGAGGATGAGCAGAAACGTCTCCTGGTCACAGTCTGGAACAGAGAGAGAAATTCCAGGTAAGGGGCTGCCAACCTGCCATACAATCTCTTTCAAATGGGGCTGGCATGGCAGCGAAGCTGCCATCTGCTCTGGCCCCACCATGTGAGCTTCTCCAGTGCCCTGAGGGCTGCCCTGCTGTCAGGGCTGCCCCGCACGAAGGCTGCGGGCCGCTGAGGCTGGGGAAGCTGAGCAGCAGGGCTGGGACCTGCTGACGGGGCACCCTATCTGGGGTCATTCTCATGGGCAGCCCGTGCTGGTGAGCACCACGCCGTGAGCAGGCTGGCAGAGAGGAAATCCTGCCCTTGCTGCTCGCTGTCGGCATCGCTGCTGCTTCGTAGCTGTCAGCCGGACCAGCCTTTAAAACTCCTGCAGCCACTCACACCTGCAGCCAAGTGGGGCTGGAGCCTGGCTCTGGGCTGGGGACCTTCCCTACCTTTTGGGATGATGCAGTGGGGAGGAGAGCCCAGCAGCAACAAGGGGTCTGGCACCTCGCATGCTGTGCTGCCTGCTCAGGCAAGTGGCATCTGCCTCCTCGGCCAAGCTCCTGCCAGCATCAGGTAGGCTGAAGGTGACTGGGATGCTTCAGCCCAGCTCCTCCTTGCCACTGCTGCAGCTGAGCTGTGCAGTTACACTGTGCCTGCTCAAAGCGTGGAGAGGGAGGCACGTCCTGGGCACTGCCCAGGTCCTGGCTTGGGCAGGGATGTTTGCAAAGGGGTGCATGGGAGAATCTGGTACCTGGGGAGTTTTCAGCAAGTGTGTGCTGACTCTCTGGCTCTCCTGCAGGCAGAGCAAACTGATTGGCTGCATGAGCTTTGGCATCAAGTCCCTCCTGACCCTGGACAAGGTACCTCCACGCTGGAGTGTGTGGGACTGGGGCCTGACTCTGGCAGGTGGGTGGGTGGCACTTTTGGGGCTGGAGCTGGCTGCTTCTGCCGTAGGACAAAGATGCTCTGAAGGTGCCCAGGGAGTTCCTGGTCCCATTCCCAGTATGGACGGTCACTGTTAGACTGGTGGTGGTGAGATTGCTGGAGGCTGTTAGCGAAGGGATCATGGGACAGGGGACCCTCGCTCCCTTCTGTAGGGCCACAGAGAATAGCAGCAACTGGGGGTGCAGAGAGGTGGTCTCAGTCAGCACTGGCTGTCTGGGGGACAGGAGATGGGGCCAGCCTCGCTGAGCCTGCCAGCATGTGTCACGTCTGACTCGTGGCCTCTGCGTGGTGGCCTAGTGGGTGTGATGATGGGGACACGCTCCTCCGAGGAGCAGTCTGCCCGATTCCCTGCCCTCCGCAGCCAGGGCTTTGCTAGCGGAGGTGGTGGTGGAGAAGGGGCAAAGGCAGAGCTCTCGGGCTGCTCCTGGGGGCGCCAGCCTCGCTGAGCCTGCCAGCATGTGTCACGTCTGACTCGTGGCCTCTGCGTGGTGGCCTAGTGGGTGTGATGATGGGGACACGCTCCTCCGAGGAGCAGTCTGCCCGATTCCCTGCCCTCCGCAGCCAGGGCTTTGCTAGCGGAGGTGGTGGTGGAGAAGGGGCAAAGGCAGAGCTCTCGGGCTGCTCCTGGGGGCAGTGGTGCTGTGCTCCTCCGAGGAGCAGTCTGCCTGATTCCCTGCCCTCCGCAGCCAGGGCTTCGCTAGCGGAGGTGGTGGTGGGAGGGGGTGAAGGCAGAGCTCTCGGGCTGCTCCTGGGGGCAGTGGTGCTGCCAGGTTGTCTCTGTGCCAGGATCCATGTCCCCACTGCTGCAGGTTTGGTCACAGTACTGCTGCCCCAGCCTGGCTGCTGCTTGGTAATACAGCTCCACATCAGCTGGGTTTGCCTTCCTGAAGGAGCCTGACAAGGCTCCTGCTGTGAACGACTCCTAAACCACGGGGATGTTTCATCCCAGCTGCCCGTGGTCAGGGATCACATCCCCGGACAGCCCCAGCCTGGTGTTGGTGTGTCAGGTTATGTTGGTGAGCTGGAAGGAGTTCGTGAGAGAGTTAACACCTCACCCGAGGTGTGGAAATTTACTCCCTAGAAAGAGGTTAAAAAGAAGCTATTTGTGGCAAATGACCTGAGCAGAGGGTAAGAGGGAGCCTGAGCGTGGCCTCCTCTGGAATTCGGACAAGTGAGATGCAGCTTTTTTGGAGCAGTGAAGATAATTCGGCAGAGCAGCTCCGAACTGTGGCTCTGCCTGGAAAGAGCCTCTGCTCTGGTCACGTTGGCCCCCCCAGAGAGGTCCCCTCCTTGTCAGATTTTGGTAGTGGGTTTCACAAGGTGTTATGGCATGCAGAGTATGCAGTGTTGATGTGTACACTCACAGCACCCTACTCTGGGGTGGTGGGGACGTGTGGTCCACCTGGGAGCTCAGCTGGGTCCGAACTGTGGCTCTGCCTGGAAAGAGCCTCTGCTCTGGTCACGTTGGCCCCCCCAGAGAGGTCCCCTCCTTGTCAGATTTTGGTAGTGGGTTTCACAAGGTGTTATGGCATGCAGAGTATGCAGTGTTGATGTGTACACTCACAGCACCCTACTCTGGGGTGGTGGGGACGTGTGGTCCACCTGGGAGCTCAGCTGGGGCTGGGATGAGCTGGCCCTGTCTCCTGGCTGCTGTGTGATGCTGCTGGATATCGCACCCTCTCCTTGCTTTCCTCATTGTGGATTTCAAACTCGTTTTAAAATGGGCCCCTTCCTCTGGCCACTGGGAATGTGGTTCCTGCAACCCCAGCCGACTCCTGGGCTTGATCCGGGATGGCTGTTCCCTCCAGCTTCTGCCAGCTGCCCGGGGAGCAATGGGAGACAGCGGCAGCTCCCTGGAAGAGAGACGAGGGATTGCCAAGGTCAGCTCTGTCCCCGTTGCTGCCCTGGCCATGTGGGTGTGGGACAGGGGCACTGGGAGCCCCACTGGGGAGTCTGCGGCACTGCTGGAGACTGGTTTGGGCATCTTCCTCTGGGGATAAGGCTGGAGCCGCCCGCTCCCTGTGAGACTGCTGGCTGCTGCAAGCACGATATGGATGGTTTTATGGAGACCAGCTGTTTTTCTGCACCTCATCTTCCTCTAAAAAACTAGAAACTTGTTACTTCAGTGATGCTTGGTCCTTCCTTGCAGGAGGGGATGGAATTTCTGGAGACTGGTTTGGGCATCTTCCTCTGGGGATAAGGCTGGAGCCGCCAGCTCCCTGTGAGACTGCTGGCTGCTGCAAGCACGATATGGATGGTTTTATGGAGACCAGCTGTTTTTCTGCACCTCATCTTCCTCTAAAAAACTAGAAACTTGTTACTTCAGTGATGCTTGGTCCTTCCTTGCAGGAGGGGATGGAATTTTAGCTGTTGCTGTATCCTAAGAGAAGGACTCCAGGCTGTGCCCCCTGTGTGGGAGCACGTCTGGGCAGCACTGGCCTAGGGCAGCTCCTGTGCCGGGACCTCTCTGGGGCTGCGGGCAACCAGACCCAGTTAAAGTGGGGTGAGTACCTGCCCCTGCTTTGACAGCTTCTTTCCTCTCACCCAGGAGATCAGCGGCTGGTACTACCTCCTCGGGGAGGACCTGGGCAGGACCAAGCACCTGAAGGTGGCCACACGGCGGCTGAAGCAGAGCAGAGGTGTGTCCACTGGGATGTCCTGGGAAGTGTTGGCAAGGTTTGGAAGAGTAGTCAGCCTCGTGTTTGTCCCTGTGCTGGCATGGAGCAGCCCCCAGCTCCATGGCACCTGTGTCCCCAAGAGCCCTTCTCAGCCCTGTGATGCTCAGCGAGCACCGGGATCCCAAAAGACCAATGTGGGGGACATCCTGGCCAGTTCAGC